TACCCATGAGGAAGAAGCGGGAGGAAGAACCGCCAAACAGGCGAGATGGTAGATGTCACTCACCACCATCACGTCCACTCCCACCTCCTCCATAGCAAACCGCAGGACCTCAGTGAACGCCTCTGACATGATCCCCTTCCCCCAGAGCTGCGGGTGCAGCTCGTAGAACATGGTGCCTTTCAGGGCGGCCTTTGTGGTTTCCGCGAAAGTGGGATGGGAGTAGGGCACTCCTTTCTGAGGGAGCAGGGCGGGAGATCTGTATTGAGGCTCGAGACCGAGGGCGATGTTACCTGGTACGTGTGTCAGCGAGCCAAATGGGAGTGAAATCGGTCTCTGGACTTGGCAGAGCACAGGGAGTACAGTGATATGATTGGAAAATGTAGGAGGGGTCCGCGGGAGCGAGTAGTCACACCGCACCGAGGTATCCTTGGGCATGCTCGATGCGGTTGGCGATCCGCAGCGCCTCCCCCGTTGACGGCTTGACGGATGACGGGTCCTTGAGCGTGATGGCGAAGACAAATTCGTTGCGCGTCTTCTGAGCGCTCCCTCGAGGCATGCTGTGACAATAAGCACACGCCCACTACGATCCCTTCACCATGTCGTTGTGGGAGATTACGGGAGGGTACAACGGAGGGACTCACCTCGATCGGATATAGCGATTCAGAAAGACGTTCTTGATATCCTCTCTTGATGGCGAGCCGTACCTAGCATCATTCAGCGTTTGTGTAACCGGAACCGAGGACATGCTTGCACACACAGCTGCGTCTTCTGCACGGTCGGCTCCATCTTGATCCGCCTGATGGCCTCTCGATCGTCGATTCTGACTTGGCGTAGCCGCAGGCGGGGAGTGATGAGCTCGACATTCCGACATGAGGGGGTGAGGAAGATGTCGAGGTTGGGGCGATACTACCGCATGGGTGGAGGAGTATCAGCCGACTGCTCCCGGACATGCCGGAACACAGATGAGTCGCGTCGAGTTCGACTTACTCGAGACTCGAGCAGACCCCAGCCAGGAAGAGGGTGCGTCAAGCGACCCTTCTTCACCTCCTGTTCCCAGAATAATGTCTGATCTGGTGTTTCTGAGGGCCGTGATGGCTCCTCCGGGACGATCATATCCGGTGCGATAGCAGACCCGGAAGTGCCAGCCTGTTACACAACATCAACGACGCGCTGGACATGGCGCGCTGGACATGGACGCGCTGGGCATGGCGTATGAAATAGTCCACCGACCAACCTTGGAACCAGCCGGCTTTCTCTTCTTTGGCTTCTTCTTCTTCTTCTTCGCTCCTGGCGCTGGTACGATGACATCTTCCTCGTGCCCATGCTCGTCGTCCTCATCCAGTTCTTCGTGGAGGACAACATCCCGCAGCTTGTCCGCCAGCTCGCCGGGCAGTCCCTCGTCGGCGATCATCGCGGGGCGCTCGTTTGGCGAGATTCACACTGCTAGAATCTGCGGTGACAGCCGAGCGAAGACCGGGTAGCTGAAGAGATCAGGATGATATGAGGAGAACAAAGACGTTTCTCGCTCCTTTGATGCCATCTCTTTGCCTCTGAAATAACCGCGGACAGCGAGGACGAGTCACGTGATACAACCGTCTCCAGTCCTCTCCCCCACTCGGACCGGGCCGGTGCGATCCGGAGTGGGGTCTTCCACTGCATCTTGCAGTGTGTCCAGAGTCAGCCCTGGGCCACGGAAAAGACAACGTACCGAGACCGAAGCAGCACGCAGCACACAGTGAATGGATGCGTGTCACGAGGACATGTCTTCCTTGGCGTGGTTCCTGCACCCAGGATAGCAGGCAGCGCGGGCAGCTCGCGGGCCGGTACCTTGTTCATGTTCGAAAGGTGGAGGTTGTCCGATGAATATGGACTTGGACTAGCGGATCGACGGCCCGGGGAGCGTTGCGTTGGGTGTTCTGAGCTCTGTTCTGGGTGGTAGACTCAGCATCTGCGGTATATGTACCCCCACGGGCCCCAGGATCGGCAGGTCTGGTCCCCACATCCCCTCTCCCCTTCCTTCTCCTACCTAGTGACCCCGATCGGTTGCACCATTCAATAGTCGGCTCGACATGCTCGTTGCGATTGGGTTGGTGTATGCTCTCACGGCGGTGTGTGCCGTGCACCTGGGCAAGAACAGGCGATGGCAGTCTCCCTCGAGCTCTCTCGGACCGGTGGTGGATCTCGGCTATGCTGTGAGTGGCTTCGACGAGATCGTCCGCCTCACCCTTCTGCGCACTGGACATCGCCGTTACATGATCTGCCCCGTCGTCGCCCCTTGCACACCATTGACTTGTTAGGCGTTCATCGGCAACTCGTCGCTCTCCTCGGTCCATTTCTTCGGAGGGATCCCTTACATCCAACCGCCCCTGGGCGACCTCCGCTGGCGAGCTCCCAAGCAGCTCGACGAGACACCCAAGAACGGCGATGCCAAGCCTCTGCACGACGCCAGGAACTTCGGTCCGATCTGTATCCAGCAGCCCGCGATCGTCGGTGTGGGAGATGAAGGTGAGTCGGGACCCGGAGTATCTACATTCAGCATGAGAGTGGGTCAGACTGGGTGTGTGTTGACGGGTCAGACTGCGTGACGCTCAATGTGTGGAAACCTGCTGGGGCCAAGCAGGGGGATAACCTCCCGGTGGTGATCTACATCCATGTGAGTGTGCTCTCACCAGGGCCTATCCGAAGGGAGTGCGTGAACCGCTGACTCGGACAGGGCGGTGGTAACTACTACAACGTAAGTCACTAGGGCCGGGAAATGACTTGTTCTGAACTTCGCAGTCCGCTCAAGGCTTCCCGATGCAAGACTGGGTCAACATCACCAGTATGTACCTGCAGTGCAACTCCGGGGTTACTTTGCTCTCTGGATGTGCAAGATGTCTCACGCTTCATCAGACGGTGGAATCGTCGCTGTCAACATCCAGTATCGACTCGGTCTTCTCGGCTTCCTCGCTTCCTCTACCGTCATGTCCGATGGCGTCGCCAATGCTGGTCTGCAGGACCAGCGCGCCGCGTTCGAGTGGGTGCAGCGGCACATCTCGTGTTTCGGCGGGGATCCCGACCACATCACGATTTCGGTGAGTCGACGATACGTGTCTGATGACTCCTGAACACATGAGGATCAATGACTGATAGCACTGTTTGCAGGGCGAGAGCTCGGGCGGTGGAAGCGTGTTGAACCACTTGGTGTGGAAAGGCGGTGAAACCCCGCGGTTCCAAGCGGCTGTAAGTGGTGTGAACAAGCTCGGAGTGTTGGAGGCAATGATAAGAGATGCTGACCCGTATGCAGATCTTGCAGAGTATTGGCAACGACCCTTTCCACGGTCCAGAGATCTACGAGGTATGCACGAACTATGAGGTACATTGCTGAGCCGGAGCCATGCTTCCAGAACGTCGTCGACTTTGTGGGCTGCCACGGAGCGCAGGACGTCATGTCCTGTCTCCGAAGCACGTCCGTCCGAGTGCTCATTTCGGCAGTCAGTGAGTAGGCATATCCCCCGGCAACTGCACCGCACCTGTCCTGCTGGAGATCAGCGCAACAGAGCCTAACATCGCACAGACCACCGCCCGCAGCCTCAATGCAAGTATCTGCCCATCGTCGACGGTCAGACGATCCTCGACTACCCGAGCCGCTCCCTCACCCAGGGCAAGTTTGCGAAGTGAGCGGTCTCTCGCCAGACGCGCCATCCTCCAGACATCCCACTGACGATGCCAGAGTTCCCGTCATGGCCGGCCACACCACTGATGACGGAACGACCTTTGCTGGGTCCAACACTTCGGTCGTCAACGCCACGACGCTGTACACTGGCATCACCTCGTCGCGGTATTTCAATCTGGTAAGTGTCGTCCTCGGTATACTGTTCATCTTGCCCGACCTCACTCCGGCGCCGGGTTCGAGGCAGGAGTTCAACGCTGTCGCTGTCGCTGTCGCTGACTCCCGCAGACCTACGCGACGTTCGAGCGCGGTCTCGCGATGTACAACCAGTCCCAGTTCACTTCGTTCTACGACCTCGCCCAGACGCTCGCTGGCGAAACCGAGTTCACGTGCTGGGACTGGTACCTCGCCAACCAGACGGCCAAGTATGGCAAGCCGTCTTATCTCTATCGATGGAACACGCCGGACCCGGTACAGCTCGCCGCGGCGCCGTACAAGGGGGTGATGCACACCTCGGACCTGTACTTCCTCTTCGATGGGACCAAGTGAGCAGATACTTCCGGACTCGCACTTGTTGCGGCGCGTCGGATTCTTCGCAGGCTGACGGGTTTGCAGTTCCGGCGTCTCGTCGTCTCAGGCAACTAGTAAGCTTACTTGAGACTGTGCAGCACATGTACTGCCACCTGGAGCCTCTAGAAAGCAAGAGGTCTGACCACCGCAGACACCTTCAAACCCTTCAACTCCACGGAAGCCCCCCTCGCTCGCGAGGCCGTCTCATACTGGACATCTTTCGCCAGGTCGTACGACCCTTCGACGTCCAAAGCAGCCGGATCGCCCTCATGGCCCGCGGTCGGCGCCGGCGGGAACAACGGCAACGGGAAGCGGATCGTGCCCACCGAAGGCACCGCGAACGGCACTGCCACGACCGTGGAGAACATCGATGATGATTACGTGCAGAGGTGTTTGGTGCGTCCAACTGTTTCCGAAGTTTGATTTCCTTGTATGGGGTACTCACGCTGTGAAGTTCTGGGTCAGCGTAGCCTTCAACGAAACCCACATTTAGCTGGGAGGGCCGTGTTTGTGAGGGAGATGACTAGCGGTAGAAACCAACAGCTGGCTTGAAAGCGGGAACGGAAAGAACAAGACCCCCTCCGGAAATGATAGGGAAGCATCAGCCTTCTGTGATGCACACTATAATGCGCCGCCTCAAAATGCTCGTACTGTAGGCAAGACCCGTGAGGGCTCGTGGTGTTTGGTTAGGTTAGCTTCACATCAACAGGTGGATGATACCGAGATCGCAGCGTGGTCACACGATCATATCCCCGTGCAACATCCTCTCTACAGCTCGGCGGCTTTAGCGTAGTGGTTATCGTGCACCCTTAGGGAGCTCAGTTGTACGACAGCAACTCCTGGGTGAGGTCCTCGGTTCGACTCCGGGAAGCCGCCTATCTGCGAGAAGTGTGCGGCGCCTGCGCCGGCAGGTCACGGCGATGCGGCGACGAGTCAACCCCGGGCTTGCGGAGCATGACATCGAGCTGCAAAGTCGTGATGTTCGACAGTCCACTCGAATCTTGTTGAGTGAACACGGTCCACGGGTCTTTCTCTGAACCGAGGCGAGTTGCTCTCACGTCTGTAACCGCAGTCTTCCCAGGTTGACGTTCCTTTTTGTCCCACCAAAGCCCTTACCTCGCTTATCTACAGTATGTTCAATCGAGGTGGCGCAGCGATGGGGCTCGACTCGCATCTAATCGGTCTATGGCCTGTCCGACACGTGCTCCTTGTCTTGGCGAGAGGCAGTCCCACTGTGATTCAGACCACTCAGCCCGGCCCACAAAGGTTTGTCGCAACAAGGAGAGCGAGAGCAATGAGAAGCAAGAAAGGAGGGAGAGAGGGAGAAGGCCGACCGGTTGCTTAAAGGTCGCCCTGAAGGGCACCAGGGTACCCTGCCGAATACCGCACTCACCATCGACAGTTTTGCACCTACCAGGCCAACAAACACTAACATGACCGCAACTCGTTCCAGCGAAGATAACGCCACGCTGTTCTCGGATGAGGGGTCAAAGACCTTGATTCTCAGCAAAGAGTCTGCCGCCGAAGTCGACTCAGCCTACACGCAATGGGTAGGAAAGACTTTCTCGCTAAAGGCCAGCGACAGCGACAACGCGGCGGAGGGCTCGTGGCATATCGACTGGGACAAACATCCTGCGAAGGTCATTTCTGACGGCACAGCTTTGTTTCCTGGCTCACCAAGCCAGGCTGTGACCGCGATCAACAAGGCGTTTGATGAGATAGAGTGGTGGCCTGGTGAACTCAGTCCATCCTCAGAGAACATCATCAGTAGGCCGCGGCTGGACGAAGAGACCTCGTGCAAGGTCACGCTGCTACCTCTTCCTGGGGAGTATGTCTGGTTGAGCAAGTTCCCGGGAGCCGAAGACGAGGTCACTGATCTGCTCTCCAAGGGGGCGACGTTGGACCTTAACCTGAAGTTTGGCGAACTGGTCGACCGCAAATCGTTACTCGGGAAACTAGATCATGTCGACCTGACAGACGACGCCACGTCCATGGCTCAAGATATTGCTACCGCTACCGTCACGATGTCAAAATATGTGCCCTACGAGCTAGAAACGTTCTTCAACGGGGTGCGCTTCGGCGTATGGCCGGGTACCATGGTCTACCAGTCGTTGAGCGTCAATGGCAAGGAATTCGCTGCGTCCGAGAACCCCGGGGTATTGGGCACGGTCATGTTGCCAACTCGTATCCGGCCAGGCGGTGCTTCGTCGTGAATACATTTCCCCATGCTCCACACTTCAAGGGGTGCATACATACAGTATGCAGTGCTTCGTCGCTGTATCTAGGGCTCTGTGACCACAGCTGCGTTGATACAGCACAGGCGAGTGAGGAGAGATGCAGATGTGCAGGAACTCATCTTGTACAAGTGATTGTTCTCGTACTGTTTGAAGTTGGGCCAAGATGGGGTCGGCGTCGAGAGTGCAATCTCAGACAGCATCTACAGGACGATACTGCAGGTCGTGAGAATGGCGAGTTCCTCACACGATGACATACAATCGTGCAACCTCGCTTGCAGGGCTGTAGCGTGGCGGTCATCTTATATGTGAGCCTCATTATTGCACGATCTCGGCTGACAAGCCACCGGGGGAAGGCTCGCCAGCCTTCGCCGATCCGAGTGTGTGTCACGTCCAAAACCCCCAACCACAGCATCTTGGGAGATCTCGGCCATTTGAGTGAGACGCTCGATTGCGCCGAGAAGCCGCCTGCCAAGGCGAGATGCGTTCACACGTCTCACGACCGCCACGCCACGATCGGCGGCTGCCCGATCCCAGAATCGAGAGGAGTCTATTCGAACCCTTGCGCAGCAACACAGAACATTGGTCCTTGTCGGTCGAATGGACCGTCGAAAGGACCGCGTTCTCATGCACAGCAAGCGGCCTTCTGACTTGTGGTCTTCGCGAGGTCGAAGTCGGGACGTTCCTTTTTGTCTGACGGCTTCCTCGCAGCGACGCGGAATGTTCCGGATCAAGAAGGGGTCCAGAAGCTTGTCCACAGCTTTTGGCCAGTCTCGCTGCGGTTTGGAGCCGAACACTCCGATCAGTCCGATAAGTGAGATCCGCAGAATCGAACAAAGCAGAGAGGAAGCGAGGAGTCGAAGGAAAGGAGGGAGGGTGCACCAGAATGCTTCTGTTGCAAGCTATAAAGGTCGCCCTGAAGGCTACTGCAGGACATGTACTGTACCTCGTTGAATATTCTTCGTTCCGTTCTACATACATCCACAAGTAGAGAACCAGTTTGAACCACAGTTCCAAGACAAACTAACATGGCCGGCGTTCTTTCCAAGAGTGAAATCGGTTCGCTCTTCTCCGACAAGACGAGGAGCGGGGACGTGACGGCGATTTTCAATATGGAGTCTGCCAATCAGGTGGACTCGGCTGTTGAGACGTGGGAAGGAAAGACGTTCACCTTGAAGACAGGTCAAGGTCCAGACAAGATCGGGGGTCGGTGGAACGTCGACTGGGATCGACATGGCGAGAGCAATATTGAGTACCGTGGCACCACCCTGTTTGCCGGCTCGCGCGAGGAGACACTCGCCGCTGTGGTTGAGGCCGTCAAAGCTCCGGGATGGTGGAAAGATGACGAGAACATCACCCAAACCTCGGAAAATAAGTACTCCGCATCGATCAGGCCTCCGCTGGAACAGGAGACTCCATGCCAGGTGACCCTGCGCCCTGGGGTGTCCGTCACGCTGTCTAGTTCCCGGGAGCGGAAGCCGAGGTTGCCGACTTGATCTCCAAGGGGACGACTCTCGACGTCAGCCTGAAGATCGGCAAGTTGATCGACAGGAGGTCGTTCCTCGGGCAGTTGACCACGGTGTTGGCTGAGACGTCCTCGGAAGACGCTAAACCGGCTGCTGGCAACATCACGACTTGTTCGTTCAGGCCTTGCAAGCTCACAATGGACGCCAGCAACGGAAGGCTCTTCAGCATGTGGCCTTCGTCCATCGTCACCTCCATCTTGAGTGTCAATGGCAAGGACTTTCCGAGGGAAGACGAGGAGGAGAATCCTGCTCAGCTGGGCACAGTCATCCTTGCGAACGCGAGCTAGGCGAAAGTTGGCCCGTACTCGCACGAACGGTATACACATAAGGCACCAGTACCGAACGAGTACTCCTGCCGTGGCTGGTCCAAGAGTAGTATGGCCACAGAATTATTGATACTGTACATGCGAGCGACGAGAGATGCAGGCGACGAGGAACACAAGTGTCGGGCCGAATGGGGTCTGCGTCGAGACGACACCTTTCACTGCGTGCTGGTCGCGCCAGAGCCATTGTGGCGGACGGGAGCCAACACCACATGTCACACGCTGAATACTGCATCGCCCCAGCAGCGTTGACGGGAGTCAGATGGGTTCGGCGGATGAGAACGCAGGTACACATGCAAGTATCACCGGTTACCAATGCGTGACAAGCAAGGGAGGCCGAGATTGATTCCATCGTACAGTATCCACGTAGCTGAAATCCGCATTACAGTACACCATCCCACGAGATGATCGATCCCCCAATATCTACCCGCCGAGCGCTCCATTCATTGATCAGTATGTGAGACTGCAATATCTCGGCTGAGAAGCTGCATGGTCCTTCCCATGGTCTCACGGAAGCGCAGCATCATTGAAAATATCACCTCGACGCGTTTGCCGCCGCCGCCAGCAGCATGAAGGGACGTGGTGCCGTATGTCAAACGGAAGGCTAAGCTGTTGTAACGAGTGTGCACAAGAGAAAGAGAAGGACTACTAGAGCGAGCGTGAAAAGTTTCGAGCGAGCGAACGAACGAGCGAACGAGCACGCGATCGAGTCTTCCAACCAAGGAAGCGTGAGAGATCCATGGTCTTGCGTTGTCCGACGGCGGACATATCATTTCAGCTTCTCCTTTGATGGAACCGATGGCGAGGGAAGGCTCACTACAGCGACAGCACTGTACAGGACTAAATGGTATAAAGTTGCTCTCGATCGCCCTGCTCACCTCATCACTTTGCCTCCCCCCCCCCCCCCCCCCAACCCCTTCGATCGAACTCGGTAACGGTCACCGCATCTCTTGTGCAAGGCCATATCCGAGTTGCGATGAGCGAGGATCTGAAAGAACTCTTCAGTCTGTATGTTGGGCAAGATGCCGAGCCGGTGGTCACAGCCGTTTACACAACAGGTGCACAGGATGAGATGAACACCGTGGTCAGGCAATTTGAGAACAAAACCTTCAAGCTGACTTTCCTTCCGGATGATCCCACCGATAGCAGATTGGATGGCGTCTACAATGTTGACTGGGACAACCAGAATGACAAGTGGGTCGTTATCGGTCGTACCTCGCTCTTTCCCTGGTCGAATGAAGACTTCAACCGGAGAATGAATGGCACCTGTGGACCCACCAAGCTGTTCAGTGAGGATGTTACGGCCACACGGGCCTTACACGATATCCAGTCCGCGGGATTTCCGCCAATGGAGGATGAGGTCATTGCATTCACAAGCCTTCTTCCCATCATGGGCGTCAAGCTCAGATCCTTCTCGGGGGCAAGAGACGAGGTGAAGAGAATCACATCCACGACACCGGAAACCGAATTGCAGATGAGCCTGGTCGTCGGTTCTATCGCAGACCACGTTGAACACATCGAACTCGACCACTATCGTGATTATTACACGACACAGCCGGATCACCGTAATCCGACTCGGCAACAGCTGGTTTCCCTCCCTCCGCCCACCTTCTCGATGTCGGAATTGAAGCTCAAGAGCGCTTCTGATGGGTCGTACTACACCTATTGGCATCTGGGCACCTGCAAACCAACTTTGGTGATCAACGGAAGGGAGTTTGAATGGGCTCAGGAAGACATTCCGCTGAGAGTCGGCACGACACTCATCTCGTGGGTGAATCCGGAAAACGAGGAGC